CACATAATGTTTCCAAAAAAACGATCAAAGAGTAATTAAAGTGACAATTATATTAAAGGGACTGTTTTATGGTAAAGCCTTTTTTTTGGGGGGGGAGGTATAAGCATCTTTTTCTTCAACTAGTTAAGCATGCATTACAGTGCTTACTAATTTATAAATAAAATATTTTTTTTAAAAAGAAAATAAATCCCTTAGTTAATTAGTTAGATCTGACTTCATCCCTGAGTTAGACTAGCTTATCAAGGCTCCCTTTGAATTTTATTCAACTTATATTTTTTCTTAAAAACACTATTTTGCAAGTTGTCTTCTTAAATTTTTTTATAGGGTTTGTTTAAAAACTCATTTTCTAATTAATATTTTCAAAAGTTGACTATTACATTGAAAATTCTATTTATGTATGTCAATTTCAAATTATTCTAATAGGCTCAATCATTTCATTGATTGCAGAAAATTTAAGACCGTTAAACATATATCAATAAATAAAGTTTTTTTAGTTAAAAGATTATTAAGTATTAGATTAATATAAAAATTAACATACATAATCTATATTAATAGAATTTTTAAACTAATGATTTAAAAATATTAATTAAGATGTAAATTTTTAAACAAATCCTCTAAAAAAATTTTGAGAGGATGAACCTTACACTGTCCTCTTTTTTCTAACAATATAATTTTCTTAAGGGTGTTTGGTAAGGAGAAACTCTTCCTCTAAATTTCTTAAATTTTTTTTTTATAAGGTTATTCATGTATGTTTAAACATTAATACTACAATAAAATGAGAATAAAAGTGACAGTTTTTGTTTTTGTTTTTCTTAACACAATTCTTAACATATAAACTTTTCCTCTTAGCTTTTCCAATATAGGACTCTTTTAACAGCTTTTCTACTAACTTTTCTTATACAAATTTTTTATCAAATAAAAATTTAAAAAAAAAAAGTGCATGTCAATCTCAATTCCCAAAATAAACTAAAGTTCTAATCTTAAATTATGTTATTTTATTTCATTAAAATTCAATTTAAAATTTAAAAATCTGTCTTATTAAATATTGATATTTAGATTAAGAAACTGATTATATTAGAATATATAATTAGTTTCTAAATATATATATCAATTTTTAATAAGGTCAATTTTTGAAATTTAAATTGAAATTTTTGTTTCTAAATATAAGTTGAGACTCTATTTTTTTTTTTGTTAGAATTGAAACTAATCCGCACTAATTTCAAAATTTTATAATTTAACAAAATTCTAATAAAATTTCACTATAAGATTTATTATCAACTTTTTGTATGATATTTTTCTAACTATTTTCATAGTGAAAACAAGTTTTTGCTAGTAAATCGGACTTCTGACCAAATAGACTCTCATTAAAATCCCTTCCAAATACCATCCCGTGTTGTTATGACCATTAATGAAAATATTAAAGCTACCAAAACAATGTTAAAAAATTGGAGTATTATAGCTGATTATCACACAAAATAACCAGTTAACTCCTCTACCGATTTTTGTGCTCATATTTAAAGCTAGACCATCTATTTTCATGTTGGCCTCCTGGGAATGTTTTTTCGGAAAATGTTTGCTTCCAACCGGACTCCCAAGAAACAATGACTTCAATAATTTCTCCCCATTCTCCCCATTGGTGATCCTCCAAAGAAAAAAAAATATCCGCGTACGTATACATAACGTTGCTACAGAAAGCCGGAATCCTGCTCACGACTCACGAACATGCCGCTATCCAATGTGACGTAAACAACTAC